TTTTTTTTTTTTTTTTTTACTTATTTCTAGATTCATTTTGCAGTGAACTGGAATGAAACTAATTAGCTGATCCGTCCATCAAACTCTAATCTACCTGCTCAGTTTTAGTGTGACCTGCTTTTCAGGTGATGGTTATGTAGTTTAATTTATATAATAGATGAAGTCATTATAATGCAGATGTTTCTTACCCCCTCCATACATCCCACGCTGCATTGGTCCAATCCCTCCTTTTCCTCTCATCCTGCGGTTAAACATGTTTACTCTATCCATTTCCTAGACACAGATGATGAAGATAAACAGTTTGATGAGTGGTGGAATAGAGTGAGTTGCTGGTTCAGGCAGAAGGAACCACAATCAGCTGGTTTTCAGTTACAGCAGGAAAGAAATTCAGATGACATCACTAACCGGAGGGGCTTGGTCATAAACCGGCTCAAACAGGTCATCAACATAGTTGTCCATCCGCCTGCTGCGCCCTGCAGACAGAAGGAAACATGTATTAGAAATCCCTGTAAGCAAAACAACACTCTGATGTCAGGGCCCCATTTCCTCAGACCCCCATGTCCTCAGACCCCCATGTCCTCAGGACCCCATGTCCTCAGGGCTCCATGTCCTCAGGACCCGTGTTCTCAGGGCCCCCTATCCTCAGGGCTCCATGTCCTAAGGACCCGGTGTCCTTAGGGCCCCATCTTGTGGCTGAAATGAACCCCTGCTGGGCTCGTTCTGTTGATACTGAGATTGAACCCAACACATGAACCTGACAGCGTTAAAGTGTCTAACATCATCTGTATGCAGTGATTACTTTCTGGTGGATGATCTCTTCCCCAGGCGTTTCCGTCAGGCAACCTGGGAGCTTGAGTCAAAGGTGCTGGTGGGATGAAGTCGTCCAAATCAGTGGTCAGCATCCTGCACAGAGAAAGGAAAAAACAGAAATCACACATAAAGAAAAAATGCTGGCAGCAGAACATCTGTCAAAGTCCCAATCAGTTGAGGAGAAACACCAGAGATCCAAGAGTTGATGTTGCTGGATTTGCTTCCTGCCTAAACCTGCTTTGCTTCAAATGATTACCTTTTATTTCTTGTATTTTTTTTTTTTAAATCATCCTGACTATAATGAAACAGACAGACTCCACATATTGGAAATTGTGGACTGAAATGTAATCTTTTAGGCTCCCAATTTAGAGGTCAAGACACGATGCATAAAAATAATTATTCTATCAATTTTGACGTGTCCAACATATATACATTCCTTACGGTTATGATGCACCAATAGGAATAGCAGATTGAGTTCATGTGAGAAGGAGATCAGGAGTAGCCTGATCCTATTAGCATCACGGTAGAGCTGAGAAACGGCCTCTTCTCTGTGGAAATTTATTTTTCAAATTCAGAACAAAAAAGAAGTAAAACAAGGGAGAACAATGATCAGGCTTTGGACTTAAGGAATTAAAAGAGGTTTAGAAGAAAGCAGAGGTTAAAGCTTTTCATCTGAATACAAAACTTTAATGTTTACTACTGTTAACAATAGCAGGCAAGTTAACCAGCTGATTAAAGCCTCTTTCCCAATGAAAAGAGCAGGTTAATGAATGTTTTTCAAACGTGGGTCAACCCGCTAACAATCAGCATTTGTCTCCCTTCCCACTGGCTAATTAAGCTGGGTCTTACCCCTCGCTCGCAGCTGCTCTGGTGATATCATCACACTGGGTTAGAGTTGGTGATGTCACCACAGAAATCAGGAAAGTAAACAATGAAGAGCAACATGTAAAGAAACCAGGGCGTAGTCAGTATTCTTTATTGTTTCTCTCTATTATCCGTCTGAATCCCTCTAACCAGAGCTGCTCCATGTTTCCTGCCGACCATTTTTTTCCTGCTTTATCCTGGACCGTGTTGCAGAGGCAACAGTCGAAGCAGAGATGCCCAGATTTCCTGATCCTCGGGTGCGCCATGTTTTAAAATGTAAAAAGAGTTGGGGCATGCAGGTTGCACAGTGGCTAGCGCGTACGACCCATGTACAGAGGCCTTAGTGCTCCATGCGGCCGATCCGGGTTCAAAACCTAACCTGTAGGGCTTTGCCGCATGTCTCCCCCCTTCTCTCACACGCCCTCTCCTGTCAGCCTAATGTCAAAAAAACGAGCCACCGGTGCTGTAAAAACTCACAAAAAAAATGTAAACAGAGTTGTTTCTGCTTGTTAGCTTGGAAGCGACTGGCGCGGTGTGTTGACATCCGTACATTGCGTACAATGGTGTCATGTAACTAAGCAGGTGAA